CCCCACCCCTGACCCACGGACCATTACCCCCACACCCCACCCCTGACCCACGGACCATTACCCCCACACCCCCCCCCCCAAACCATTACACCCCCACACCTCTTCCCCACAGAACACATTCTCTGCCTCCCTCTGAGCCTCAATCCCTTCCCCCGACCCCTCGCCCCAGCCAGTGTGAGCTCGGGCTGTTTACCAGGCCGAGCACTGCAGCAGCCCCTCGAGTGCGGCCAGAGCTCCCGCCGTGTGAGCCCAGCCCTGCCGGCAATCTGGCGCCGACATCCCACTCCGTCCAACCGCCGCCAACGGCTCCCAGACCCACTCGACTCGCGCCAAAACGTCAAAGCCCGGGGGCGGGGCTGGGGTATGAGACTCATTCCGGGGGCGGGGTCCTAAAAATGATTGACATTGTCGGGGTAGCGGGTGTAGACTCTCTGTGTGATTGATAGCCCGGTGCGTAGTGTGACCTGAGTGTGATAGACGGCAGGGCGAGGGGCGTGGTACCTGAATGTGATTGACAGCCTGGGGGCGGGTTTGAATATAATTGACTACACGGTGAGGGGGCGGTGCCTGATTGTGATTGACAGCTCGGGGGTGGGGGTTGAGTATGATTGACAGTCCAGGGAGGAGTCTGACAGTCCTTACGTTCGGCCGGAAGGAGCAATGATGTTGCCCGCCAACTATTATAGGTTTGAAGTTTTCACTTTTCTTACCATTCTTCAATGAACTACGGTTGTCATGAGCTATAACAAGGCTACCTTCTGACACTCATCCCTAATTACCCTTGAAAAGATGGTGGTGAGTTGCCTACTTCAACTGGTGCAATCCACCTTTTGCAGGTTCTCCCACCTTGCTATTTGGGGGTAAGTGCCAGGAATTTGACACAGTGACACACTCAGGAATGCATTTCCAGTTCAGGATAGTGTGTGGTTTGAAGGGGAGCTTGCAGGTAGTGGTGGTGTCCCCATGTATGTGCTGCCCTTGTCCTTCTCTACGGCAGAGGTCACAGTATTGGCAGGTGCTGTGGAAAGAGCCTTATCGAATGGCTATAGTGTTTCTTGTAGATGGTACACACGACTGTCACTGAGCTTCGATGGTGGAGAGAGTGAATGGTGAAGATAATGGGTGTGGAGCCAATCAAATGAGCTGCTTTTTCCTGGATGGTATCGAGCTTCTTGAGTATTGCTGTAGCTACATTCATGCAGGCAAATGGGGAGTATTCCATCACACTCCTGATGTGTGACTTGTCGATGGCAAACTGCTGTTGGGAATCAGGAGGTGAGTTAGTTACCGCAGATATCCCAGCATCTGACCTGCTCTTGAAGCCACCATATTTATATGGCTGTACCAGTTCAGTTTCTGGCCAAACGTAATCCCTCCCAAGCTGTTGATCGTGGGGGAATTCAGTGAAGGCAACACCATTGAATGTCAATGGGAGATGGCCATCGTTTGGTCCTTGTGTAGCACAAATAGTATTCACCACTTCAAAGCACAGCCTAAATATTGCCCAGGGCTTGTAGCATTGGGACTTGGAATGCTCAGCAAGCATCCCCATTTCTGACCTCATGATGGTCATTGATGAAGCTGCTGAAGATAGTTGGGCTATGGCCAGTGTTCTGGGAACTCCTGCGGGGATGACCTGGAACTGAGATGACCAACCTCCAACAACTGCAACCATCTTGTTTAGAGCTTGGTATGACTCCAGCTAATGTAAAGTTTTCCCCCTGATTCTCATTGACTGCAGTTTTGCGAGGATTCCTTGATGCAATACCTGGTCAAATGGAATGTTGATGTCAAGGGCAGTCACTCTCACCTCACCTCTGGAATTCAGCTCTTTTGTCCATGTTTGGACCAAGGCTGGTATGAGGTCAGAAGCCTAGTGGCAGAACCCAAACTGGGCGTCAGAGAGCAGCTTATTGCTGAGCTGGTGCTGCTTGATAGCACACACACACAACAAAAACAAAGTTGCTGGAAAAGCTCAGCAGGTCTGGCAGCATCTGTGAGGGGAAAAAACAGAGTTAACGTTTCGAGTCCAGTGACACTTCCTCAGAACTGACGGTGGCTGGGAAAATGTCACTTTATATGCAGAAGAAAGGGAGGGGGATGGGGTAGGGAGTAAATGATAGGATAAGAGCCTAAAGAGTGACAAGAACAGTTGGACAGACAAAGAGTTGATAACGATCAGGCTGGAAGGGTGAATAGTTGTTAATGGAGACTATTAGTGACTAACAATAAGTAGTGTGAAATGGCAGGCTATGTGGTAATGAGGCCTGGTGTGTGGGTTAGGGGGCTGGAACTTGGGAGAGTTTAGGCCCTAAAATTATTGATCTCGATATTGAGTCCGGTGGGCTGCAGGGTCCCCAAGCGGAAAATGAGGTGTTGTTCTTCCAGCTTGCGTTGAGTTTCGCTGGGAAATTTAAGCAAGCCAGGGACAGAGATGTTGGCCAGGGAGCAGGGTGGTGTGTTAAAGTGGCAGGCAACAGGTAGTTCAGGGTCTTTTTTGTGAGTAGAGCGTAGATGTTTTGCGAAATGGTCACCCAGTCTACACTTCATTTCCCCAATGTAGAGGAGACCACATTGTGAGCAGCGAATGCAGTAGACTAAATTCTGGGAAGTGCAGGTGAAGTGTTGCTTCACCTGGAAGGTATGTTTGGGCCCTTGGATACTGGGGAGGGAGGAGGTAAATGCGCAGGTGTTACACCTTCACCAGTTACAGGTGAAGGTGCCGTAGGGGTATTGGGGGGTGTTGGGAGTGTAGGAAGTATGGACCAGGGTGTCCCGGAGGGAACAGTCCCTGCGGAAAGCAGACAACGGAGGGGAAGGGAATACGTGTCTGGTGGTGGCATCTTGCTAGAGGTGCTTGATAAAACTGTTGATGACACCTTCCATTGTTTTACTGATGATCAAAAGTGGACTGATTGAGGAGTAATTGATTGGTTTTGATTTGTCTTGCTTTTTGTGTAACACAGGATCTTGTGTACTCATAAGACCAAGTAGCCTTTCTTTTATTAAATTCATAGAGTCATAGATGATTACAGCGCAGAAGGAGACCATTCAGCCCATTGTGTCCGCTCCAGTCAATAAAGTTTTTTTAACTCACTGGTGGGACGTGGCGTCACTGGCTGGCCAGTATTTATTGCCCATTACTAGTTGCCCTTAAGAAGCTGCTGGTGAGCTGCCTTCTTGAACTACTGCAGTCCACATGCTATAGGTAGATCCACAATGCTGTTATGGAGGGGATTTTGACCCAAAGACAGTAAAGGAACGGCAATATATTTCCAAGTCAGGATGGTGAATGGTTTGCATGGGAATTTGCAGCTGTTCCCATATATCTGCTACCCTTGCACTTCTGGATGGGAGTGCTCATGCGTTGGGAAGATGCTACCTGAGAATTTTTGGTGAATTTCTTTCAGTCTGACTGTACGATCTCATTTTCCAGCTTTTGGATCATAGCCTTAGAGGTTGTGCAATGCAAGTGAATATCTAAATTCTGTTTTAATGTTGTAAGAGTTTCTGAGTCTCCCCCTTTCAGACAGACAGTTTTACATTCACAGCAGCCTCTGAGGAAAGTAAACAATCTCCTCAAATCTCCTCTTAGCCTTCTGTCTCTTATCTCAAATCTATGCTCCTTGGTTATTGACCCTTTTACCAATGGAAACCATATCTTCCTATATCCCTATGTCCCTCATCATCTTATACACCTCTATCAGGTCCCCTCTCAACTTCACTGTTCCAAGGAAACAACTCCAGTCTATTCAACCTGTCCATATAGTTCAGAGCCTCTGTCTCCTCTCTAGTGCAATCACATCCTTCCAATAATGTGGTGACCAGATCTGCATTCAGTTCTCCAGTTGAGGCCTTAGCAGCACTTTATTCAGTTACAGCATAACCTCCTTGCTCTTGTATTCTGTGCTTCAATAATAAACGCCAATACTCCAATGCCTTCTTTACCACCTTATTCATCTATCCTGCTACCTACAGCGATCTGTGAATATTCACACCAAAGTCCTTCTGATCTTCAGTAATTTCTGAGGTCCTACCATTCATAATGTAATCTTTTGCCTTCCCAAGCCCATTCTCTCTCAACTTTCCAGGTTGAATTCCAGGTTTGCTACTATTCTGCCTAGCTGACCAGTCTGTTTTTATCTTCCTGCATTTTGAAGCTGTCCTCATTAATTACCAGTCGACCAATTGTCATGTAAGCTGCGAAATTCTTGACCATAACCCCTACGGTTAAGACCAGGTCATTAATGTACACCACAAACAGCAAGGCCCCCAGCAACGGGCCCTGTGGAACCCCAGTAGAAACAGATTTTCAATCACGGATATATCTCTCTACCATCATCCTCTGCTTCCTGCCTCTCAGCCAGTTTTGGATCAAAAGTGCTACTTTGCTTTAGATCCCATGGGCTTTTACTTTCTTGACCAATCTTTCATGTGGGACCTCATCAAAAGCCTTGCTAAATTCCATGTAGACATCATCAAATGCATTGCTCTCATCAACACTTCTGGTTACCACCTCAACAAATTTGTCAAACCCAACCTTCCCTTAACAGGTCCATGCCAACTAGCCCTGATTAATCCATGTCTCTCCAAGTGCTGGTATATTCTGTCCCTCAGAATTCTTTCTAAATAACCTCCCCATCACTGAGGTTAGACTGATTGGTCTGTAATTTCTTGGTCTGTCCCTCCCTTCCTTTTTTCATAATGGAACAACGTTAGCAGTTCTCCTATTGCTTCTAGGGTGCCTGATATCTCCTCTCTTGCCTCCCTCAACATCTCTACATATAGATGAATCTCATCTGGGCCTGCAAATGTATCCATTTTTAATGATTCTAAATCAGGTTGTACATCCTCTCTCTCTCTCCCTCTCTCTCTATGTTAATTTTTTCTAACTTTTCACGGTCCTCTACCCTACATTGTTGAGATTGTAGAGATTTTATGATTCTAAGTATTTATTGAGGACTTTGTCCATGTCTTATTGGAAGCATTTGAGGTTCTCCCGTCTGCTCAAGAAGACCACCCTATTTATTGTACAAGGAGAAGTCATTGGCAGATTGAATGTTGGCATCCACAGAAGAAAATAAGGCTTGAGGCCCATTGGCAAAACTTGGGAGACAGAAGATTCCCTGAGAGGAAAGCATGCGCTCAAATAATAAAATGCTCAAGTACATTTCACAGAATGTCCCAGCTGAGAGCAAACTGAAAGAAGCAGGAATCAAACAAAAGTGAAAAAGAAAAGAAGTGGGTGTGAGAAACGGAATTTTTAAGTATATCATTGTTAATAATAAATTTCTACAAGATACATGGTCTATCATTATACATCTTCCTTCCCAGCTTTGCAAGTTGGGTTGCCTCCAACACTGGCCCATGCCATGTGAACTAGGATAATATCATAAAATATTTACTTATTGAAAGAAAACATCTACTTCAGAAATAACTGGAAAAATGTACTGAATAAAATGTCAAAAATCTAGATATATTGGTGAATGCATCCTGGTTGCTAAGATTAAAGTCTTCATCGACGTCTACTTGCTGGAGTGTCATTCAAGCCTAAATGTCTCACAGTATGGTTGGAATTTTAAATACACTGCCATTCGCTTATCTCTTTGATAGCTCTGCTTGAACGACATTCCCTTCTTCAGGGTGTTCTCACATCTCACTCAATGCATTGCTTGTAAATATAAAC